TACATTTTATTACATTTTATTACATTTTATTACATTTTATTACATTTTATTACATTTTATTACATTTTATTACATTTAGTCACAACAACAACAATAATGATTAATAAATTACCATAGCATTAGTATTTTATAAAATTATTCATAATTTTCATAATTGTATTTTATACCTAAAATTAATAAACATAATATTTATTATTTATTTATTATTTTCAAATTTCGACTTTATTAAATTTATTAAATTGAAGAAGAATAAATTCAATAAGAAAGATAATTCAGTAATTACAACAACGAATTATATAATAAAATATTATTATTATTAGTATACAATAGATTGAGATATTCCTTCTTTATTTCCTCCTTTACCGAATGCTCCTTTTCTATCTCGTGATTGTATTCCTGGAGTGATACGTTTGATCTCACCATTTTCAAGAATTTCTTGAATTATTTCTGTTTTGTTCGTTGTATCAAACATTCCACTATATATTAAATAATAATAATAATATTTTTTTTTAGAAATTGAAAAGTATTTTTTACACTATAAATATGCTATATTTGATATACATATTATGGAGAAAGAATTACCTTAATCGTGATGCGGTTGGGTGACCTGTGTGACCTCCCATATTGTAATCATAAACTTGAAAACCTAAAATAAAAATAAGATAAAAATTCAAAATTCAAACGAAAATTAAATGTTTATTCTAAAAAGTAATAGTAATAGAAATTAATTTAATTATAAACTCACTTTGAACAACATCAACAATCGGAATACTTTTGTCTATTTTGATTTAAAGAAAAATAAATATTTATTATATTATTATTATGATTATTGCTGAAATTTTTTATTATACGTATATAAATAGAAAATAGTTATCCTCATAAAGAATATTTTTACCTTTACGCCATTCTTCAACCTTTAGCATATGAAAAAATAAATGAATAAATAAATAAAAAGTTATAATTTATTATTATTATTATTATTATAACTGATAAAGAAGGCATTTTGTAAAAATTACAATAAAACTAGCGAAATTACATCCAGGAAATTAATTAATTAAATTTACCATTCCTGGGTTAACAAAAATTACAAATTCATCCGATGACTTTTGCTTGTCTTTGTAAATTACTTGAGTGGTTTCAGTTTTTGGCATTTTTTTTTTAGTTTTTTTTTTTTTTTAAAAAAAAAAAAGAATTGGTTTATTGTATTTGTTAATGTTATTTGTATTTGTTAATGTTATTTGTATTTGTTATTGTTATTGTTTTTTTAATTACTTCGTGATTGAAAAGAAGATTTTTTTTTTTTTTTTAAAAAAAAAAAAGAGAATATATTTCGAATTAATTAATTATTTATTTTCTCTTTATATACAGTTTGTAGTGATAAAATAAACTAAAACTATTATAAACCATTACAAAAGTAGACAAAGGTAGAAAGCTTCCCCTTTTATTTGTCATTATCAAATCATCAATTTAAATTAATTCGAAAATTAAGGATTCCAAAATTCCCACGGGAATGTTGTGAACGTTGCGAACATTGTAAACATTGTAAAAATTAGTAAACATTTGAGCATTGTTTATCGTTTAACTCTCACAACAGTTTATTTCATTCTAAACTTTCTGAGTCTAAAGTGACAGTGGGAATATATTTACGTAAAAAACGATTTTAATTTGAAAAAAAAAAAAAAAAAAATGCTTTTGTGTATAAAATAAGAAAAAAAATTTTCTGTCTGTAGGACTAGGACATAAAATGAAATTGATAATCTAAATCTAATTTACTTTAATTAAAATTCTTGTGTAATTAGAAAATGTACATTTTAATTTAACATTACATAATTCTAACATAATCTTTTTGTGACTTTATACTTTGCATATTTATTATTAATTGAGTTATTATTCTTTGAATGTTATATTACTCTCAGGATTGCTAATTGTCAATACCTAACATTTAAATTTGGCTTCCCAAACTTTTGCAGCTAGCTCAATAAAATAATTTTACAACTACTAACTCTGACCATATGATTATCTCATGACTATTTTTCAATCATGATTTCATTTTACATAAAACATGACATATGAAGTTACACAAGACCAACAATATGAACAAGTTATAAATCATTTACTGGGATTTGTCATCTTGCTATTCTGTTATTCTTAATTGTTGTATTCTTTAATTAGGTAGATAGAAATTATGGAACAAAGCGATCAACAAAATCGTAAAGTTAGAGAGAATAGAGAAAACAGAGAAAGTGAAGAAAGTGAAGAAAGTGGAGAAAGTGGAGAAAGAAGTATGGAAGGTTTTGAAAGTAGACAAGTTAGAATACAAAACATAGGAGAAGTTGGAGGAAGAAGAACCTTACTTCCAACTACGGATTTTCATACACCTGTATGCATTTTAAGAGTTCCTGGATTAGACGATGATTCGACTGAAAGATCACGACAACCTGTATCATCTATCTTTATGCCTCCTGTTTATGAAGCTCCTAAGAAAAAACAAAATGAACAATATAAAAAGTATACACCTTCTGGTATACCTGGTGGTTCATTAAATGATAAACTTTTATTACATGTATTGAAAGATGATTTGAACCAAAATTTACATACCCATCGATTATCTTATGATTCGAAAACTGATAAATATTATGAGAATGGAAATATTGAAGAAGAATTTATTACAGGTTGGAAGAACGGAGTATTACAATGGAATAATGTTGAACGTAAAATTGAATATGATTGGAATATGTAAGTTGAAATAAGATAATATTTATTTTATTATTCATTTATATTATTTATTAATTTATTTATTTCAATAATTTAAAGAAAGAGTTAATTGAATAAATGTCGTTTCTTACATTTTAAGGGTTTATCTTGCGCGTGATCCACGAAATTATATAAGCGTTCCGGGTGAAATAAAGTGGAAATTTGATTATAGAACATCAAATTTGATTATTAAAAAATTCATTCTCAAATTACAACATGCATTATTTGATAATGAGGCCTCAATTATTTTGACAATTACTACTTTACCAACTCGAAAAAATAAAAATCCAACTCCTCAAACAATTGAATTTCCAAAACCCACGAAATTTCCTCATGAAGAAAATAATCGTAAAGATGTAACTTCATTTGTAGAAAATGAATATGGATTTATTTTAACGGCATGTTTAAAAGGGGGCGAAAATAACAATATTTCATGGCAAAGAACTCAACTCTTTAGAAAAAGTCTTCAACAAGAATTTTTAGATAATAATATTGATGATGATTCGGGAATTAATTTTGGATTAGATACTCGAACTGAATTAATGCCGGATGTAATTTGTGATCCATTACCTGAAATAAAATATGATGATGATGACAATGGTAAAGGCATAGAAAGAAAAGATAATAATGAATTCATATTGAATGATGAAAAGACTAGTGATTTCGTTATAAATCTACGAGAAGAATCTCCTCAAGGATCCACCAACGAAATAAAAATTTTTAATACTCATTCTAAAATTCTTTCGACAAGATCAGAATATTTTAAAGCACTTTTACATTCAAAAATGATAGAATCCAACGAAAGATCACTTACCATCGTAGATACTAAATCTGATTTATTTGAAATCATACTTAAATTCATTTACACGGGTGATTTACCTATCATCAATAAACTTGATGATTGGTTTGAATTACTTCGAGGTGCTTCCAGATTTTTAATTCTGGAATTAATTCAAAGATGTGAAAAAGAAATTAGAGGTTTTTTGAATCCTGATAATGTGGAAGAAATTGAATCTATTGCTATTGAAACTGGATCAAGTCAATTATTGAGATGTTGCGAAAATTTGGAAATTAAGGAATAATAATTCAATTTTTATTTAATTTCAATTAATCTTTCGTTTTCGTTATATTTATGATTTCTTGTTTATTTGTACAACTTATTGTTTATACTATATAACTTATTGTTTAAATAAAATTTATTATGCACAAAAATTCTATATCGTAAGGAATTAAATGTTTTTGAACATCTTTTTTTTTTATTGTTGAATGTGATGAATGAATGAACTAACAAATACTTTACGTAAAAAGAACTTCCCTAACGTAATCGATTATTACCTGTTAAAAATATATATATATATATGTGAATCATGAATATATGACAACAAAAAAAAATCTAACCGAATTAAAGCAGAGAAGCGTGAAATATGATTTTCCTAGGTCAATGAAAGAATGTTATAAAACGAAACTATTGAAACTATTGTTAATTTTTTACTATTCTTTAAATTAACCCTAGAAATTGATAATTTAAAATTTGGTGAACCGTACGTGACAACAATGGTTTGTTATGATTATTAAATTCATAAAGGAGATTTAATATAAGCAATTATTCAACTCTCAATGCTCCTTACTGCCATTCCAGCTTCTTCACATTGGTGTTTCCTTATGTACTCTTTGTCGCTAGCACCACAAAGATAAATCACGGTATTTCATTCACCAGGTAGGGTCAACTTTATGATGTTTCAAATATCGTGGGTCTGCCTTCCTTATCACACCAAAAAGCCACATCTGCGTACAGGGGCAATTTTTTGGCAAACATGGCAAGTATGGCAAGTTGTATTTGCAAGAATTTTATGGACCATTCGCAAATATTTGCAAATAGGCCGATAGCCAATTTTTGATCATTTGACTTATGACTGTTTTATGAACCAAGCCGAGCTCAGGCTACCTGGGTGTTTATATGCATTGGACGAGGAATAGGCACCTGAGGAATTTTTCTCTTACTATATATACGATCGACGATTACTATTAATAATTATTTTCGACAACAGATTTCCCTGCAAAAAATTGCTCTTTAACATAATCGTCGATCATTGCTATTTAGACCTATTCCTTAAGAATTGAAAAAATAATCGACGATTAAATTTTAATTAAATCGGCAACTATTTGCTCAATTCTTAACAGGTAATGCATTACATTTTCTAGTTTAAGATTACTTAATATCGTTTTTTGATAGTTTATTTTTTTTTTAACCATCGTGACCGCGTTAGTAACCTTTATTAAAATTTGAAACTTGATAGTTTTTTTTTTTTTTAAACCATCGGAGTCTTGTATTAAATAAAACAATTGTTAGATTTACATGTTGTGTTCTAACTACCTACTCTAAACTAAACTATTACTAATTAATCTAGACGACGAGTTGACCCATCGAAGCCCACAAAGTGGGAATTGACGGCCAAGATTCCGTCAGTTAATATAATTATAGTAGTATTTATAAAAAAGAACGTTCCCGTGCATAGTTAGTAAGTTGTATGAGGTTATTGCATGTTTGAGAGATGAACTATATAAATGTTTATATGATTTATGATTATTGTTGTTTTTATTTTTTATTTTGATTTCGTTTGGTTTTTTGGGAAGTTGGGTAATTGTATCTCTTTTTTGTTTTCTGATTTTCTTCCCATTCTAGAATCTTTTGAATTCGATGATGCCTTGATAGTTTATAAGTGAAAAAGATACTTTTATATGTAGCAACGATTTTAAATTATTTCTTATTTTAATAAATTTCGATCTTTTCAATTCACGCCTAAGTAAAGTTTGAAATTTCACTAGTAACTTAAGTTGTAAACATCATATTTGGCTACAATTCTCTATAAAATAGTTGATATTTAGTTTTTATACTCATTAAATCCGATTGAATGTGCGAAAGTATTAAGATAAAATAAATGAAATTTTTATCAAATAATAAAATTTGAAAATTTTATATCAAAATTGAAACGCTCACAATTCTATCAATTTTAATAGAAATATTATGAAACATTTATATAACATGTAATTTAATATTAGCTATCAGTTTACTTGATACATAAAATACAATTTAATAATAATAAAAAAAGTTTTATACAGAGTAACTAAAATGATTTATTTTAAAGTGCACATTATGTACTAATTAATCATATTTACCTGTACTAATTAATCATATTTATATGTAATAATTGACTATATATGCTATTTATGTATGTTAATGAATCTCTTGTTACCAATAACTTTTTACAGATATAAATAATTTATCGTATATAAAAAAATAAGAAAATACTATAAAAATTAATTGTCTTTATTCACTAAAATAAGATGATATATATCAAAAAAATAAGATTAAATTATAATATTAAAATGTATCACATATATATTCTTTCCAAACAACTGATTATTCTATGCAGAACAATTTCTTTTCTCTTATCGTCACGAGTTATATTCCGTGAGAAACAAAAATGTATATTTATTCTCCAAAAACGAAAATTCTCAAAGATATTTATTTATTTTTCGTGGTCTGTGCGGAAATTTCTTGCTAAGCTTTATATATATATATATACTTTTCATGAGAATTACATTAATTATTAATTATTATTAATTATTTACTTAATAAACGTCATTATTTAATAAATTATTACTAAAACAGGTTTTTTTTTAAATTTTTTAATTTTATTTATTAATATAAAAAAAAGCATAAGGTGTTTTTTTCCAGTTATTAGAGATAGTGGGATGTTATCTACAAAGAAATTCATTCCTCCCACTAATAATAATAAAAGGATTCTTAATTTTAAAATACTATACAACACAACGAAATAAAAAAATAAAAAGAAAAAGAAGAGAAAATAAAAAGAAAAGAAGAGAAAATAAAAAGAAAAAGAAGAGAAAATAAAAAGAAAAAGAAGAGAAAATAAAAAAAAAAAAAAGAGAAAATAAAAAAAAAAAGAAGAGAAAATAAAAAGAAAAAGAAGAGAAAATAAAAAAAAAAAAAGAGAAAATAAAAAAAAAAAGAAATACAAAAAAAAAAGAAAATAAAAATAAGAATAAACGATATATAAAGCGATATAAAAGCTCTAAAGAAATATCTTCTTTAATTCGAACTACTACTGTATTTTAGTCAAATTTTTAATAATAAAAAGTAAATTCAAAAAAAAAGAAATATAAAAAAAATATATAAAAATATATAAAAATATATACAATATAGAAAATGATCAATTATTTTCCTTTGCTTTTTCACAAGAATATATAACAAATAAGAATAATTAAAAATAAAAAATGTAACCGAAATAACGATATCAACTTTATTGTGTTGAACGTTGGTAAAAAAAAAAATAAAATTTAATTCTATTATTATTACACAAAATAATAATAATAATAATAACTACAGTAAATTTGATTATTACGTTTTATTTCCGATTTTTTCTTCCGAATTTTAATAATAATAATAATAGATATCCGTTCGAATAAAGTACGTTCGAATAAATAAATAAAATAAAGAGGTGCTAAATAAACCTTAATCGAATAATATGTAACGTTCGTCGTTCGTTCGTTCCTTTTTTTTTGTTTCTTCCATTTTTCCAAAAAAAAAGTTATGTCCATTCGTATATAGTATAAATAATAAAAATAAATAAAAACGATATATAAAGCTAAATTTAAATTTTGAAAGTTATTTTTTTTTTAAATAATATTATTTCAATTTTTTCGTCTCGAGATAGAAAATAACGACGAAAAAATTTTGAAATCAGTAACCAGAGGAAGTGGGGTCCCGAAATCAAATATTCTTGCCATTTAATAATTTTCTTATTATTAATTGATTTAAGAGAATATAAGATATTTCAAAGGGAAGAAGGGTAGACGCTTATTAAAATATTGAAATAATAATAAAATAAAATAAAAAAAAAACTTTCGCTTATTGTAAAAAAAAATATTTGCCATATAAATGATTTTTTTTTAAGTAGTTTGCCAGCCATGATTATTATATACTTAATATATAAATTATTAATCGTAAAGGAAAAAAAATCGAATTTTTAATTCTCTCCATTCCAAAAAAAAATAATGAAAAAAAAAAAACATATACATGTTTTTGTAAGAAAGATAAAAAAAGATTTGATAACATATTATTTTCCACGCGAATATTTTTTTCTTTAATCATATTTTTAAAAGTCCTTATTCATAATAATATAATAGTACAAAGTCATTAAAAATCATTAAAATCATCTCTTTTCGATTCCTTTTTTTTATATCATAAAAAAATTGTAAATAAACATAATTTTTTTTTTTAAAAAAAAAGAATCCTGGTAATTCTTGTACTTTCTTCTCTTCATTATTTTTCAACTAGTTGTTAACCCTAACACCATTAACCAACATTTCATCGAATTTTTCCATTTGTACAATCATACTTTCAATTTCTCCTCGGGATCCAATTGTATCGAAAATTTCATCATTCATTTCATCATTCATTTCATCATAATCAAATTCTTCATATTCAGGAAATGAGAAATATGAAGATTCAGAAGATGGAGAGACACAATTTTCTTCTTCGGATGGTGACGGAGAAATTGGAGGAGAAGTAAGCAATTGCATGGTTGCATGAATTAGAATACGAAGAGTGTTATTTTTAGAACAATTGGTTTTGGGTTTAATTTTTTGAGGAGCATTAGTTGAAGAAGCATTACTAGCGTTATTTGCGGGTGATAATAAGGAGGATTTAGAGGAGGAATTGTTAGTAGTAGTACAAGAGTTTACTTGAGAAATAAAGGTCATTATAGAAAAGGGGTTACGAAAAGAGATGTTTAAAGGAAACTTGAATTAATGTTCTCAAGTATTTTATATTAAAGGACTTTGAGATGATGACTATAAAAAATGATGAAAAATTACGAGGAACCCGTTATTAAATACTTTTTTTCGAAATTTATTGTTTATATAAATAAAATAAATAAATGGACGAAAATGGATGTCTACAAATTCAATTGTTTGTTTGTTTTTAAAGTACTAATATTATTTATTTTTCAATAAATCATACATATTCATTATATAATATATATATAGTTGGGTCGGGTAATTGGAACTGCAACTGTATTTAATGTAATAGAAAAGGAGTATTGGCTAATGACAGTAGTATAATATTAAGTCTTTTAAGAAAAAAAAAATTTTCAATTCGAATCCTTTTTTTTTCCTTGTAAATTATAATTGTACGCTAATTATCTGTATTATAACGTGATTCTCGTGAACTTGCAGACACAACACATATGTATGTATTTATCTTATTCACCAGTTAAAGTAATAATAATAAATTAATAAACGGGTCCATTAAACTTTTATTTAATTCATTATAAAAGGATCAAGGCGGAAACTGGAACCAGTGTCTCACCTACGCTCAAAACTTAACTTCAAATGTGAGAGGTGGGTTTTTATAAAGAATCAAAATCAAAAAAAAAAAAAAAAAAAATCAATATATTTTTTTTTTATTACAAATTTTAAATTATATTCCGAAATTTAAATTCACACATATAAATGGAATTTTATAATATACAATATAAATGCTTGGTGACAAATAAATTCCCATTTATACATACTCTAAAAAAGTCTTCATTGAATGCTGAATTTTGAATCATCGTATTATGCACATTAAAAATTAGAGTTTCTGTATAGTCAATAATTTTCGAAAATTGCATTTAAACAATAATATAAATTAAAAAAAATAAAATAAATTTGCAAAAATACCGGGATTATTATTATTGTACACATTTAATTGTTTATTGTAATTGTCACATATTTTATTGTTATATATTTATTGTTAGATTATTAATTGTTAAAGAAGCGCCACAGATTTCTGAATAAAGGGATTTCTTTATGTCAGTAAAGCGTTATTCTGATTGGATTAAATAATATATAATTATTTATAAATTATTTATATACTTATCTCAATTTAGGTTAATAAATCATTATATTAGTTAATGAGTTGCTGCTGGTAATTGACGCGGGTAATGCATTGAATGTCCAAAAATAAGTAATGAATTTGTATTCTAAAGTAATTGTGTATTTAGTAATTAGTCACACATATAGTAAATACCATTTAACAATAATTTCAATAATTTGTATTATGTGAATCCTATTATATAAAATTGATAATTTCGTGGGCCACTTTTTAATCACACGTTCCTATCATCTATTATTAACCATATTCATTTATTTAAAAAAGAATATTATTTTTTTTGCCACGCATTTTGGTATTTTACAAACAAAATCTAAATCGATAATCGCAACCACGATTTTTGTTTGGTTAGAATTTAATTCTGCTGTTGGATGCTGTAATGTAAGAACTAACCGTTAATAGTACATTAACATACATGAATGAATAGTAAATGGACATCCAATGTTAGAGTGAATTACTCTGTCAATAACTGTGCCACGTGATACGGAATTCTGTTATCATTTTTTTTTACTGAATTCCGATAACGATTAATTAACTAATTCGTCTTGAATTATATTATGTGTATATATTAAAAAATTCATATTATGTGTGATAAATATATATCTCTGTTTTCCAAATAAAATATTTAATACACACATAATTATAACAAATTCGGATTTTATTCAATTGCCCGATCTGAGAGGAGAAGAAAGCAAACAAATAAATAAGCCATAAAGTGATTTTTAAAAAAAGTGATTATGCAATACGGAAAAATTTATGCAAAATATGTCTAAATATATCCAAATATATCCAAATTTATTTAAATCTTATTAAATGTATGATTTGTTGACAAAAATAAATAACAGCACTCAGATATTTACAAGAAGAGGAAGAGATATCAGGAGATATGCAAATTTAAAGGCAGGAGAGGTAAATCAAAAAATATTAATAAGATTAAAATCATCACCTTCATTATTATATAAAGAAAAGAAAATAAACAAGATTTGAGAATTACACCACGTTTGATAGTCTAATACATAGATTTCCATAATTATCATAATTTACAAAAAAAAGTCTATTCAGGTAACATGCAAAAGTAATTTACAGATTAATAAGGTGATTATTAATTAATTTTCTATGTAAAAACACGTTTTTAACGCGATGTCAAACTTTCTACTGATGTTGTGCATTATGCAATAGATAACAGAGATTTAATAAAGTGTCACAAGGAATTAATTAATATTATTATTTATTATTTATTATTTATTATTTTTTTTTTTTCAGCAATGATCTTAATTTCTAAAATTTTGTAAATTGTTACTCATGTATCTCAGTAATAATAATTTCGTTACCTTCCAATAAATCTAGAAAATGAAAAAAAAAATATTATTATTTATTGAAATTAATGGAATTGATATTATTAGTGGAATAATTATTTATGGATAGTTTTGAGAAAAAAAGGAATTAAGTGCTAAATTGGAAAATTCAAATTAAAGGTAATACAAATAATTGCCACGTCAAAATAAATGCCTATATATAATACTCCTAATGAATTTAAATAAGGTATTGACTGATATAAATTTAAAGGAAAAGATTTACGATGCATGTGAACAATAATTTATATATCTAAATAAACATCGTATTCGGCACACAACGATGCGGGTCTCGATGAAAAATGAAATTAGTAATAATAGTGTTAATAGTAGTAATAGTAGTAATAGTAGTAATAGTAGCAGAATGGTATGTCGCAGTAGATTTATTATATTTATTAGGAAATGAATATGAAAATAAAACAATTGAATTTTTTCTCTTAACAAAGAATTCGAAAATTTTCCACGTTTTAGTGTACAATGAAATGGTACATTACTTTCATGAACTCTATATCTGATTTTTATTATTTCTATACGTGTTAATATTATTATTCTATCGGGAATTTCCCATATGAATTGTTTGTGTGTTCAAAATAATCAATAACTTAAAACAATTTAAAAATAATTGCAATTATTATTGTTATTGCTATTATAATTATTATGTACCAAAATGAATTAATAACAAAAAATCTTCGCCTGATGTATTTTATTATTATAATAAAATTTCTTATTGTCAATAAAAAAAAAAAAAATCGTATTACAAATCTTATTCATTTTATCGCTAAATCAGCTGAAAAAAAAGGAAGTTCTCTGAGATTAAAAACTTATTTAAATAGGATATTTAAACATGGTGATTGAGAACAATGCGAAGAGAAATATTAAAAATATTAAATTGTCGTACAACATTTTTTTAAGACATTCGCAAGAATGCATTTTTCCAAGTAATTGTATTTCCCCACGTGGGTAACAAAAGTTAGTATTATAACATGTGATGATTGAGTTAATTAACACAACACGTGTACATCATATTTGATTCGTATATCAGTTTTTTATTTAATCAACCCACTTTTCTCTAACCTGGTTTTAAAGTATGCGTGATTTTTTTTATTCTGGATTTACTCGACATATGAATTCAATATTTGGGTAAATTTTTGTTTGTAAAATTATCTATATGAAAAATTTCAATAATAATATAAATTAATAAATTAATTAACACGTACATTCAATATAACCTGATTTTAATTCATTTTTTTCTTGCATATTTGTTATGCGTATTAATATTATTAATATCGGCATATATGTACATTATTATTATTATATAAAGAATTCAAATAAAAAATAAAAAAACTGATCATATCGACATATAAATATATTTTATTTGTTTATATTAAATATTTACTACTTATTGTTCATATAATCTTTTCTCACGAATATGCGTGTTTTCAAATAAATATAAATAAATAAATATATATTTATTTATTTAATGTAAAATCATCACTATTAAAAGATGATTATGCAAGACCAGGTTGAAAAAAAGATTGGGTCCCGAGTTCCCTATAATCCGCACAGACACGGAATAAATACTTATTGTCCGGAGCGTTATATATACGGTTAAATAGGTTAAATACATAAAAAGAATAAGAAAAACGAAATAATAATTCAGGATAAATTTATTCCAATTATAGAGTACATAGTATATTGTTGTTTTCCTTTTTTTGTAGTTTACGTTCTCCTAGCTTTTTTTAAAGCTTTTCACATTTTTTTTTTTTTTTACAAACATGGAAAAAATAAAATACTTGATGTGCGTATTATATCATTTTTAATCATTTATTTTTTATTATTTATTATTTTCTTTTTTATTAATTTTTATTATTTATTATTTATTATTTATTATTTGTTTAATTTTTTTTATTACTTATTATTGTTTTATTCATTGTTCATCCAGTGGTGTTCTTATTTTGTATATTGACCGTTTTTGGCACTATAATTTTGAATATTTTTGATTCTTTACTTGATGACTAAGTTTTTTTTTTGTAAAATTGTTTATTCTTTGATGAAATTCTCTTAAAAGTAACATTTACATGTACAATGAATTCTCTCCATTCTTACCCCAGATTATTTTTCCTTATTTAATCAAAACTACATCAAATAAGATATCATCTAAGTTATTTTCAGTAAGTATATATTTCATTATATTATTATATCATATTTAGTTAGTAATATAATAAATGAAAATTTGTTTTGAGTTATAATTAAACGGTGGATAGTTTAATAAATATACTATAATAAAGTTATGAATAATTATTGATTAAATAGTATTATAATTGTAGAAAATAATTCTTTTGTACTTTCCTTATCCTATTCGACTTTTTTTTTTTTTTTTTAAAAAAAAAAAAGAAATAAGGTTTATTCTATTCAAATATTCGCTGAACTTCCACATACGCCTCTTAATTCTTACGTGAGCAAAAAAAAATATAGATTTATTTATTACTATTATCTCATACAAAAAGAGAAAATGATCAACACACGTGAATTGACTGATTGATCATGAAAGGTTGCAAATAAACCTTCATTCTGACATTTGGCAGACATCTACACAAATTCTGGTTCATTCAATTATTTAATTTAGAGAAAATGGATTTGCCTGTATATGAGGAATTCAGATTTATTTTCGTTTCACTCGCTTGTTAGTTAATCACATCATCACTATTAATACCACGTGAAGGGTGACATTAAATCTTGGATTGCCATAATTGGTTAAAAATCGAAAGTTATGTCATTAATTACCTTCTGAAATAATAATAAAAGATGTAAAGAATAAACAAAAGTTTTGACCAATACGCATTACATAAGTAGCTTACGAGAAAATTATAGTAACAAATAATCTTTTAATAATCGTAAAATTCCTTACAGATTGTATATACAATAATAAAATTGGTATTTTATTAAAGAAATTTTTATAATTTCTTTTTTTTTTTTAAAAAAAAAAAACATTAATGCATCATTTACTTGGTTAGCAAAAAAAAAAGAATATTTTTTTTTTGTAAAAATATGTAATGCAATATTATTGGCATAACTGAAAAATAAAATTTATAATGAAAATTTGTGATCATTGATAAAATGATATTATTAGAAGAGAAAAATAACGGGTATCTCAAATTCAAAAACCAATTTAAATGTCGGTAAAATTGTAATCTTGTATTTTACTTAAAAAGAAGTTTTATTTACTTTTTTTTTTTTTAAAAAAAAAAAGAAAAAAGAGAACATTTCAAGCGAGATACATATGTACACACTAACATTAGGCTTTTAACTTTATTTTGATATATTTATATTGTATAATTTGTTAAATTTATTTAATTTTAATTTTTTATCTCTTAACCCAGGAATTTTCTTCTTATTCATATTACCATATGAATATATTTAAAAATAGTGTCATTATTTTTTTGCTAAGCAATGTTATTGGAGGAAGTTTAATGCATGAAGATAAGCCTTGATCAATGAGAGAAGCATTAAACTTGCTAAAATTGGTTACTTGGTTATCAAAATGAAATTTGGATAAGCTATCTAAATGGCATCTAACCTAGTGAACAATTTTGACAGTTAATTTTTTTTTTTTATCTGTAATAAAAATAAAAATCCGGTTTTGTTTGTAGCTGTACTTTGTAATTATTGTCATTACTATTCGTTCTCCGATATTTCTATATATTAAGATTAATTGTTAATCTTTTGATTTTGAGACAAAGAAAACATCACATCACGATTGTAAGCATTCAAATCATGTCATGAGAAGAAATTACAAAAACATTAAAGTATAATATTCAAATCAAAGTTTATTATTTAATAGATATTGAATAAATATAAAAATGTTGATACAAGTTTATAAAGTAGTTTTCTTAATAACCTTAAATACTTCATAATCTTCAATTGAGAATCTATCTTCTGTTGTTCTTATAGGTTTTTCATAATCCTTATTTTTACAAAAACATTCATTATCCAAAGTAAAATCAGCATAAGAACTATGCATAGTAAGATCACGACCGAAACGTGGACCATAAACTTTTTGAGTGTCGAAAGCTGTGCCGGAATTAATAATCGCATTTCGAGAATTTTTTACTCTACTAAAAATTGAATTTTGTACATTGCCATTTTTTAATGAGAATATAAAGCTATCTTTTGTTTCAATCCATTTAGTATGTAAATCGGTACTATCCCAAGGATTGTAACCACCAAGGATTTCATCTGTTCCTTTAACTTTTATAATTATTACTGTATTAGAATGGCCTTGACATGTATCCCAAAAAGTCTGAGGCGCAAATCCATTTTGACTTCCTCGTAAAATTAATTCAAACTCTTCAAACTCATATGGAATATTTGTTAAAGAATAAATACTTGATTTACGATCAATCCAAGCCGAAGGTGGTTCTTTTATACGAGTAGGTAATTCCTGAGCTAAAACTATTCTTGGCAATAAAATATTTGATTTCACTGGTTGGTCTGGAGTAAAGAAATATTGTTTCAAATCTTCCCACAGTTGTTTATCAAGAATTTTTTTGTAAGGCCTTATTTTACTCCAAAGGTCTGCACCAGGAATTTGAAAATATCTGATATATGGTAAACATTGTTGCAATGAAGTTTTTAAAGCTGTAAAGTTTTCATTGGTCCATTCTTCGAGGTTTGTTGGTAAAGTAGGATTTTGGGCAATTCCCCACTTGATAGTATATTCCCAAATTTTAACTTCTTCTAATTGTAAGTTATCATGTTTAAGGAGAGAAACCAATGCTGATTCTTGAAGGGAATTGAAATCTTCAGCATCAAAAATGGGGGATGGATGTTTTGCAATAATATCATTGCAAAAATTTTCTAAAACTTTGAAGTTATTTTTATTAAAAATCGAATGATAAACTTGGGAAAAATGAGACCTTAACCAAGAACTTTTAGTATCGGTAAGAAAAATTTCTAATTTTTAGATAATTCTTCAAGTTCAAAATCATTAGCTATCATCATTAAATCAAAAATAAATCTAGTTTTCAGCATTTTCTAATTTAATAATTCCCCCATAAATATATCTTTATTGAAACAAACAAATAAATTAATTATCAGGTTAATTTATAAACTTACTATTATTGTTATTATTAACAGTAGTAGTACTTTCATTATTTAATAATAATCACAACGACTTACTTTAAAATAATATCAAAAATTTGGTCAGAAATATTTGGTTTATCGATTGTCTTGATATTGTTTTTATTTGAGGTAACATTTTCTAATTCTTTACGAAAATAAGGCGAACGACATTTTAATACGTTAGAGTGAGCTGTATAGGGTTTCTCATTTTTAACTTTAATGATTACATTATAATCATCTTTATCATTAAGAAGTTCAATAAAATTTTGGGATAATTTATCAAAAAATTTAAATGCCCATTTGTTTTTTTGGTCAAAAAATAAAAATATTTCAACTTTATATAGTAATTTGAGTATCGAATGTATCACAATGACATATTTTAAAAATGAATTACTGCGAAAATTCCATACATGTAAATAATCTTCTCATCATCATTTTGTGGTTCCAGAAATTTGCATTGGCTTATTATAGATTTAAGTTCCTGAAATATATGAAAATATATGAAAATAAAGATGGGTTTGATATGAGTTGAAATAATAGGCCAATGATATCGAAAAGTTATTAAATAGTTTTGAGGATCGGACAGATGATATCGAAAAGTTATTAAATAGTTTACAATTTCTCATAATGTTAATTATTTCGGAAATGAAGTGATGGAAAACAACTTTTTATTCCGTTTTATTTATTTGTTCAAATTCAAATCATATCTATATTTTTGTATATATATTTTATGTTATAATTGTAGTAAGAATTTGGAATTGTTATCAAAAGATTTCCATGATACAAAAGTTGCTATTTTTTCTATCAATTAGTATACTAATATATTTATTTTCAACTTTTTAGATAAATGAAAATAAATAAACATAAATCTATAATTTAAAAAAAAAGGTACATACTGTACATGATTCAAAAATGAGAAAATTATCAAAAAAATTTTATCTCAAAAAAAAAAAATCAATGCATTTTATATTATTTTTTTTCTTTTTATTCGAAAACTGGTCCTTTTTTTTTTTTTGACTTTTTTCCCAATTAATACATTCGAGTAATTCTTTGGAATCAATATTATAAATATTTGACATTTGTTATATTTGTTATATTTGGTTTATTAAACCTTAATAAAATTAGGATTTATAAATAAATAATTCATTCTTTCTTGATTTTTCATTTATAATCTTTAATTTTTCGTAAGGCCATCAATTTTCCTTTATTTCCTTGGTTTAGAGAGAAGAGAATGTTGGCACAAATTGATATGATTGGTGAGTTGAAATCTGATTTGTTGAGATAAAAATCAAAAATTCATCTTTTAAATCAATATGGAAATTTCGAAAAATTCTACACAAACCTTTATTCGGTGTATAGAATTTTTTAGTGGAATAGGTGGTTTGGTGGGATATTTTTACATATATTGTAATTATGTTAATTATGTTTAGTTATGTTAATTATTAAAATTGTTAGAATTTTATAAATTTTATATAATTTTTTTTTTAATTAGCATTATGCCTTCAAACAAGCTTGGTCTAATGGAGAAGTGATAGCTAGTTTTGATATTAATATCGTGGCTAATTCTGTATATAAGCATAATTTTGGTAAAAATCCTATTACGGTTTGTAATATGATTGATGATGATGATTATTATTATTATTATTATTTACCACTTTTAATACTTTTAATGGGACGCATGAATTATTAAAGAATTTCATTTTTTTAATACTATAATATTATTGTTATTAAGAAATGTATTGAATCATTGAATGTTGATGATATTGAAAAATATGAAGCCAATTGTTGGTTATTAAGTCCACCGTGTCAACCTTATACCAGAGGCGGAAAAGGTTTGGATGATCAAGATCAAAGAGCGAAAGGATTAATGCATTTAATTGAAATCTTACCTAAATTATCAAACCCTCCTGAATACATTTTTCTTGAAAATGTTCTAAATTTTGAAGTAATGTGAAATTTATTATTATTATTATTATTATTATTATTATTATTTATTATTATTATTTATTATTTATTATGATTTATTATGATTTACTAAATAATCATCTCATTCTGATTAGAAATCAAGATCTCGGGAGAAATTAATAATTCAATTATATAGAATGAATTACGAAATTCACGAATGTTTATTGACACCTTTACAATTTGGAATTCCAAATGATCGATTGCGATATTATTTAATGGCTAGGAAAAAAACAATTATTTATGAAAATATTGGTGAAAATATTGAAAACTTGGAAGAAAATTATTTCAAACGATCAAATACTAATATACATAGATCTTGGCCATTTGAGTGTATGTTATTAAATAATAATAATAATAATAATAATAATGATGATGATGATGATGATGATGATGATAATAAGACAGATAATAAATGTCATCATCACCAGTGGTTAATTGATGATATTCCAAACATTACTTCATCAACCAATTATTTAAGTAATTATTTAGATGATTATGATGATGCTTTAAATGAAAAAGAACTTGAAAACCATTTTGTAAAGGAAAAATATATTCTCAAGAGTTATGATTTTAAATTTGGTATGTGTTATTTTTTATATATTATATAAATTATTATATAAATTACTGTTATACGAATTATCTCTATTTTTCTTATTTCTTTATTTTCTTTTTATTTATAGATATTGTAAGACCTATAGATCAAAGGAGTTCTTGCTTTACAAAGGTATTTTATTTATTTTTTTTAAAATGATTTGTTAAAAGTTACTTATTAATTGCTAAATATCACCACAGGTGATTGTCACCATTAGGCAAGATTTCATAACTTTGCGCACGTAAATTTAATTTTGCCCAGTGGTGACAATCACCTGCGGTGATATTTAGCAATTTTCTAATAGTGGTATAAATCTCATTTTTATTTTATTTTATTTTATTCTCTAAAGTCATATGGTAGCCATCATATATTTGGAAGTGGATCACTTATTCAAACTAAAAAATTAGAGGTTTGTTTTTTTTTTTAAAAAAAATTTTTTTTATTGAAATTATAAATGTTACATTATTCATTTCAATTTATATATAAATAAAATTATATATGTATACTGTAATATATGTATATATATATAGTTTACAAATTATGATTTTAAAAATCCAAAATCATTATTAGAATTGGGGTTAAGATTTTTTACTCCAATTGAAGTTGCAAGATTACACACATTTCCTTTGAAACCCAATAATTCTGATAATTTTATGAATAATTTAAATAATATACAAGACCAAATTCTACTACCACCAAGATTATATGATTCGATAAAAAATTCATCATCAACTAATTATTTGGAATTTCCTGATGATGTTAGCATTATTCAAAAACATAGATTATTAGGAAATAGTTTAAATGTTTTTGTTGTAGCTGAATTATTAAGATGTGTATTATTTAATTATTAGTTCAACTTGAAGCTTATTAAATAAAACAAATACTTCCTAATTTGTAATTAATTGGTTATTTTTTTATCTTATCCAATAAATTTTTGTATTTTTATGACATCATTCATGACGATTTTGCGCCGCGCTTACGTAATCTAAAATACTCGTCTTTGAATATATATATGCCATGCAAAGTTGTATCATAATTATTATTCAATTTTTCCTATCCTAACTTCTTTATAATCCTTTTTTTGGTTAATAGAATCGAGATTCAATGCATAATCTATTACTTGATCAAAAGTCTATAAATATAAAAAATTTTGGTTTTTGTTCAATAAAATGTCAAGATTACATGGTTCCATTTTCTTGAATTTTCTCCTTGGAAAAATTGTTTTATTTTTACTTGTTCCACTTACAAAAGCATCCATCGTTGATGATTCTTATAAATCTTACGAAGATGTGTTCGATGCAATTCTTAATACACTTTTTCCAATTACATTCATCATCTTGTTTAATGTCTCAGAAACTGGACCTATTAAAAGAGTATTGTTACCATTACTTGATGACATATTATACAACACAATCGCTTGGGTGTTTCCATTGACTGCTTCTTTGTCCTATCTTGATATTTACTTAATTTCTTATTTATCACCTGTGGCATGTTTTCATATATGTCATTCAATATGCGCTATAATAAAAAATGTAAGAGTTGATGATTTGCATAATTCAGGAACAGGAACACAAATATTTAACAGGATCTCTTTTGCTTTGATAACTTCTCCAGCAATATTAATTCCAGAAATTTGGATTGTGTTTATTTCCTATCGGCTTGTTGCTGGTTATTTGGATCCAATGATGATAATGTTCCTTATATTATTTAGTATATTATTCATTTGTTCAATATTATCTTTTATTATCTTACGCTTTCGTTTTAAAATTTGCTCACAAGGATGGCCAAAAGGAAAACGTCGTGGAATATATACTGTTTATAGTTTTATCTTCTTTTATACTCCAAATATTCTACAAACATTATTCATCACAATATATCGGCCAATCAATTTTTACTTTGTCAAATCATGTATATTTGTATTAGTTCTTTATTTAACAAGAAGTATATCTTACTTTAATGATAGAATACCTGGAGACTTTTTGGCTACTTCAAATACAATAACTCATTATTATTTACGAACTACAATCGATGATTTTTATAAAGAAAAATCCGAAAATCAAGAAAATCAGGATAATCAGGAAAATCAAGAAGAAATTAAAGTGACTAATATTGTATAATTTGAATATATTATATTGATGGATTTCGATGGTTTTTTTTAATAAATGTAATCAGAAACAAAGTATCATTTTTACTATATACGTAATACGATTTTTTATAATTAAAAAATAAAACCACGATATTGTTTTGTAGAAACATTTATAGAGCTTCTTTATAGTTTGGCTTCTTGGAGCAATAACTCAATATATTTTACGATAATTTCTTACAATTATGAAGAATAATTTTGAGTCCGGAGTTAAATTTAATACGCGACACGCGGCGTGACAAGAATCAACGTTACAATAATCCAAACAGAATGGATATTTGATATTGGGAATCGCAGAGTATCCGTCAAAGTTAATTATGCGTTATTCATGACATGTGTCGTGTTTATCTAATCTACACATACTTTTAACCTTAAATGTTGAACTCAGTTCGGAATAATTAAATAATTAGATCTCATCAATCCAGAATTCAAAGACGCAAATACTCAAGAATAAATAAGGTTACTGAATTTCACAAAACTAAATATTTATAATATTTATAATATTGTGTCATTTTTAATTTCATTATAGATCCTTTTTTGGTTAGATTAAATATGTAAACCATTGTTTGATTAAAAGTTTATAAATATAAAATTAATTTAGTTATATAGTTTTTATTCAATAAAATGTCAAGATTATATAGTTCCATTTTCTTGAATTTTCTCTTTGGAAAAATTGTTTTATTTTTACTTGTTCCACTTGCAAAAGCATCCATCGTTGATAATTCTTATAAATCTTACGAAGATGTGTTCGATGCAATTCTTAATACACTTTTTCCAATTGCATTCATCATCTTGTTTAATGTCTCAAAAACTGGACCTATTAAAAGAGTGCTGCTACCAGTATTTGACGATATATTATACAACACAATCGCTTGGGTGTTTCCATTGATTGCTTTTATGTCCTATGAATTTTATATATACTTATTCCCAATTCTTTATTTATCAATTGTGGCAGGTTTTCATATATTTCATTCAATCCTCGCTATGAAAAAAAGAGAGAGAATTGATGATTTGAATAAATCAGAAACACAAATATTTAACCGGGTCTCTATTTCTTTGATAATTTCTCTGGCAGTATTGATTCCAGGAAATTGGATCGTGTTTATTTTAATTGAGCTTGTTGTTGGTTATTTGGAGCCAATGTTTATAACATTCCTTATATTATTTAGTATATTATTCATTTGTTCAATATTCTTGTGTATTAAAATTTACTTTCGGGGATGCCAAAAAGGAGAACGTCATGGAATGTACGCCGTTAATAGTTTAATAATCTTTTATGCTCCAACTATTCTACAAACATTATTCATCGTAATATGTCTACCAATCAATTTTTACTTTGTCAAATCATTTATATTTATATTAGTTATTTATTTAACAAGAAGTGTATCTTACTTTAATGATAGAATACCCGGAGACTTTTTTGTTACTTCAAATGCAATAATTCATTATTATTTACGAACGTCAATCAATAAAAAATCAGAAAATCGGGAAAATCAAGAAAATCAAGAAAATCAAGGAAATCAAGGAAATCAAGGAAATCAGGAAAATCAAGAAAATCAAGAAAATCAGGAAAATAAAGTGGCGGATATTGTATAATTCGTTATTTTCTTTTTGGGTTTATTATATTGAGGGATTTCAATGGTTTCCTAATAAATATAATCAGAAACAAAGTTTATTTTTACTACATACGTAAATACGATTTTATAATTAAAAATCAAAACACATATTGACTGTAAAAACATTTGTAGAGTTTCTTTATAATTTGGCTTCTTGGTTACTTCAATATAATTTTGCGTAATACGATAGATAATTTCTTATAAAGGCGAATCGAAAAAATCGGTACAGTGGGAGATCAAAAATCACCGGACAGTTGAAAATTTTTAAAAAAATTACTAAAATTAAAATGCTAATTGTGCCACAACGAGTGATCTAATTTGCACAAGCTTTTTTTTATTAGATTACCCCAAACCAGGGCTATCATATGATATATTTTGTGTTAAAATTAAATGTCTATAAATAGAGAAATTACACTTTAAATAAACCGACAAAAAATAAAAAATTTAATCTTTGAACGTTACCCGTACCGGATTTGATGAATTTTAAAGATAGATGCCAACTATCTTATATAAAACTGTAGCCAAGAACAATGTCTAAAATTTTAATTAAAAGAATTTTTCATGGTATCTAGTCATAATTTTGACTTTAATTAGACGTGAATAAAAACGGCCGAAATTTATTAAAAATTTTAAAAAATAAAATAATTGAATTCTAGAGAATAATTTTTGAACATCCGAAGTTTAACCTTTAATATTAAATTCAATTCGCAAGAACAAATTCTAAAACTTCACAAAATATGCTACTTATTCTTGGCTATAATATTAATTATTGCCATACGTGATGTTTTATTAGTAAAAAATAAACTTTAATATGTAGTAACGTTCGACAATTATTTTCGGATTTTTTTTAGATTTTTTAAAGATAAAATGATCGACATTGATTTTTTTTACAAATTCGAAAATAATTATAAAACGTTTCTACATATTAAAGTTTATTATTTACTAATAAAACATCAAAAAAAAAACTCTCTCCTGCATCTGACAAAAATTGAAAAATAAAAATTCAAAAATCATATGGACACAAGAGACGAAAATATTTTTTTAGGAGTTCAACCTCCTGAAGGAAACACTACAACACCCAAAGCTTTAGCAGTCCTCTTCTTGAAAAATCAAAAAACAAACAAAGTTATGAAACATGACATTTTTCAAAAAACTACAACACTTCCCAGAGTTCTAGAGTTTCCTCCATTTTTTCTTTTTACAACCCTAAAACAACAGAAACAAAATACTTTCTCAGAACAAATTATTGATAATCCTGAATATGTAGTGCTAGTTACTTTCAACAGTATAAATATCTCTTATAATACAAGAAGAGTTACAGCTGTCACCCAAACCTTTGATACTATTCCTTCTTATTTACAACATAAAAGAGTAAAACAAACTATAAACAGTATGGATAACATAACACTTAATTACAAAAACCAAGAGCTATACATCAACATTATCAATTCAATAGAAGAAACCATCCTGATAGAAGATACAGACCCTATTTCACTAATTCCATCCTCTAACTCTTCTCACAAAAATTCTTCCACACCTTCCAAAAAAATGTGTAACCTTCTCACCTCCTAAAAATAATCAGTAGATAAATAATTTAGTCAATAAATAAAGGAAACCAATTATGTAATGTTATAATAAAATGCAAAACTGGTTAGGAATGCATAAAACACAAAACAAATATGCAACTAATACAAATGTAATATCACTAAGAAGAAAAAGGTTCCTTGATACAATGCATAATGATATACAAAATCAAAACCCAGAGAATAACCTAGAAGATTCCATCCATAATTTATCACCAATCACAATACACAATTATATACAATATCTAATTAAACTCAGAAACACCTTAATATTGCTGAACTATCTAACAAGCCCTGAAAGAAGTACAGTTTCCTTTGAAAAAGAAAGAATAAGAACTTTCTTCTTGCAATATAACAAAGATAAAGCTATATTTTGTAAATTGTCAAATAACCTAAAAGACACTTCTAACTATATTAAAGAATAATTTACACTATTGAAAAAAAAATTATACAATTTAAAGACAAAAACAATATAAATAGTAAAAAAACTATTTTCCTTCAACTCCATAGTAAGTTATGAGATCACTTGAGAACAAGAATTATGTGATGCTATCTATATAGCATAGATTTTTTTAAAAACTGGAGAGAAAGAGACATGGCCTAACTTATCATATACACAATTAATTTTATCCTGACACCATATAAAAGACCAAAAAAAAGAATTCAACTATATCTAATTTATTAGATAATATGTAAAGCACTTTCACAAATTCAAGTCAACCAAATATCCTCTATCAGAAGATCCTATCTATTTACAACCAAAAACAATAACAGAATTTTCAAAGGTTAAATTTTCACTTCAAAACAATACAAATTTAACAGAAGTCTTATATGTATTGTACAAATAATATAACTTTGACCTATTACCAATCAAATACTATTGTCCAAAAGAACTGTTACCACAATATTTTATTAATCTGAGAGATGAAATTTCATGTAAAACAAAATTACCAATACAAACTAAAGAATAAATGAAAAAAATAAATGAATACAAACAAGAACTACAAAAGTATTACACTTTACCCACACAACTTCTAAAAAACTACATACAAGTCACAAAAAAACTAGAACTATTAAAAGACTATAACAATGTAAGAGAGAACATTAAAAAATATTTCCCATGAAACAGGACAACAGTTTTAGATAATATCTCATTTTATGACATTTTAAGTGTATTGAAAAAGAGTATATAATTAATGGAAATCTGCCAGACTCATACTTCTTCAACTACACTAAATTATCAGAACATTCTAAACAAGTAGATATATCTAATCTCCCAAACAATATAACCTTGCCAGTTACTAAAAAAGAAGATATAAAATTCCTAACAGAAGCATTGAAAAAGAAATATACTTTTATAACAATCAAACTTTCTAAGAAATGGATTAATTTAAAAACAGATAAAAGAATTCCCTTCTGACTATACCTGCCACCCAAATTCAAAATCCAAATGTCAAAATCCCAAATGTCAAAATTCCAAATTCCAAATCTCAAATTATGATTAGTATTTTTTGCTGAAATCCCAAATCCCAAATCTCAAATACTAGTAATTTGAGATTTTGGTATCCCAAATTCCAAATAATTTGGAATTTGGGCAACACGTATACTTCAGACAAATATAAATATAGTTAACAGAATCATCAATATTAATTTATCAAT